GGGCTGGTGGAGGGGGGCAGGTCTCAGGAAGGCTGAGGGCAGTGAGAAGGGCAGGAGTCAGAACAGCAGAGGAGGGTGAGGAGTTGGGGGGCAGCAGGCACCAGGGGAGCTGATGGTGTAAGGGGAGGAGACATGGCAGCAGAGAGAAGAGGTTAAGTTTTATAAAATATTTATTAATAACTTGGGTGCCACAGTGGCACATCCAAACAAGCCACATGAACTCAGTATTGGTGCACAACACAAAATCCATTCTGCTCATGGGAGGAAACTCTTAGGCTATATCTACACTGGTGGCTTCTTGCAGAAGAACATCTTGCACAAGGGTTCTTGTTCAAGAAGTCTTGCGCAAGAACACGTCCACACTGCCATGTGTGAGCTGTGCTTTTGCGCAAGAGCATCCATGGCAGTGTGGATGCTCTCTTGCGCAAGAAAGCTCCGATGGCCATTTTAGCCATAGGGGTTTCTTGTGCAAGAAATCCCTGCCAAGCATCTACACTGCTGAGGGAGGGGAGCAGTGAGCAACAGGCAGTGAGCTTTGGTTTAACCTGGCTTTGGGCCAGGATTATTCTTGGTGCCAAGACACCAGCGGCCCAAACAGCTTGCCATCTATGTTTGGGAACAGCACCAATTGCATGCCAGTGGCTCCTAAGACTTCCAGGAGCAGGTGGCCACTGCTCCAAGCAGCTTCCAGTCTAAGGGCACACATTAAACATCCTTCCTCCTATAGCTCCCGCTTTTCTGCAAAGAGGTCTGTTTGGACAGATAGCCAGGTTCTGACATCTGGGTTTTGTGCAGGAAGGGATCCCACCGTAATGCTTTTGATCAATAGCTTTACTAATGAAAGAGAGAAGTGGAGTTGGTCATATACCATGGAAGGTATTGAGTGATATATTGAAACCTGAAATCAACGCTGTGATTGGAAATTAAATGTAAATTGAGAGAGAGGCCAATATTTTTACTATGCCAGTCAATATCTGTTGAAAAAAGGAGAAAATCTAAAAATATATTTTGGAAGAGATGGAAAGTATGGGTTGATGCAACTTGGCTAATTTGTGCATCATTTTAAAAGGGCATTGTTGACTTCATAACACTGCAGACAAAGCTGTGTGCTAGTAAACTTGGATTAATTAAAACTCTACAAATTAGGATCCAGTTTAATTTTCACTAATTAAATGATTTGTGTATGTTCGTTTTTCCCCAGCTTGAACAGTGAATAAATCAGTTTCACTTTTTGATTCATAGTGCTGCAGTATGTGGGTTGCAAATCCTGCAGGGGAATATGCATTTATTTTAAAATGTTTCCATTGCAATAAAAAACCAAAATAAAAAACTGAACCAGCCAGCCAAACAAAAACAATTTATGGAAACATTTCCATTAATTTTAGGTTTTGTTTTGCAAAAGGTAAACTTGGGGACAAAACAATGATTGTGACACGTTAGTATGTATGATAAACAAAAGGAGTCAGAAATACAGTTAAGTGTTCAAAAGTTACTTTTTCCTTTAGTAATCTTAACGGGCATTAGATATCTGTGTGTGTGCATGCGCTCTACGAGTTCAAACTAAAAATAAAACTGGACTTGGGTTTTTTTTAAAACAAACTTTTCACTCCTTTTCCAAAGTTTGTGTATTATGGCAGCTGTTTCTGGTGGGACGTCAAGATAGGCCAAGTAGGTCCAGTTATCCTGGACAAGCCCATTTACTTGGATACATCTAGTACGTCATTCAAGCAGGAAGGTGGCAAACAGTGTTAACTTTTTGTAGAAGTAATTATTACTTATAAAGCGCTATAAGTGTATATGATGTTTTACAAACATAGAAAAGCCAAGGTCCCTGCTATGGGGCACTTATAGTCTGAAACAAATGTATTACATGGAATAACAGTGCAAACACAAAGTAGGCATAAGGTGCCTGATGAAGGCCACACTTCCCTTAGCTCATATTTGCCTTTATGGCTGTAAATCCAGCAAGACAAGTTGGCCTTCTAAATGTAAGCTATCTTAAAACCAGAGGGGTAATCAAAAAATAAGTTTAAATTCTGGAAAATAAAGGAAAATCTGTGTCAAGAAGCAAAGGATCAGGTACTATAGCCATTTTGCAAGTGTGGCTTCTAAAGAGGTTAAAAAAATTCCTTTGTAATTTCTGCCACCTGAGATTTGCATTGCTGTGTCTAGAAATTATCATATTTATAATGATATCTCTAGTACTCATAGAAAGTAAAGATAGTTTTCTTTTAGAGAAGAATGCATGACAAATTACTTGTTTTAGCATTATATAATGTAAGTTCAGAAATGTACAAGTAAGGCATACTGCCAAGAGCAACCTTTTCTTTTTTTAAATTTTTATTTTTCTCAAAGTATACGATAATATAAGCATAAGATACTGCAAGATGGGTGAATAACTGGCTGGATAACCGTTGTTAGAGAATATTTATTAACAGTTCACAATTATGCTGGAAGGGCATAACAAGTGGGGTTCTTCAGGGGTCTGTTTTGGGATCAGTTCTTTTCAGTAGCTTCAAGATTTGAACGACTAGTTGACTATCTGATAAGCAAATGCTTGTTGGATAATCAACAGGCTAGCTGACTAGTCGTCCCCCCCCCCTCTTGCTACCTCTATGAGAAAGAGGCAGCGGGGAGGTGGGGCGCGGAAGGGGAGAAGAGGGGATAGGCTGGGTACTTCAAAGGGGAAGTGCCATATGGAGCCTGGGGTCAGACCCTGGGCTCCATGCGGTGCTGCTGCTTTGAAAAGGTGCATGCAGCCCGGGGTCAGCGGGGGAGTCCCCAGCTGACTCCAGGCTCCGCGTGGTGCTGCCTCTTTGAAACGCCGCATGCAGCCTGACGCTGGGCTCCTGTTACCCCTGGGGCCTAGATAACACTCAATTGTGGCCTGCTGGTGAAAGCCCCAGTCAAAAGAAAACAGATCTGCCCCCTCCCTCAGGGTCTATCACCTGTGAATTAGGCCTGTAAGGAAGACAAAGGGAAAAGGAAAACAGACTCTGATTAAAGGTGAAAACAAGAAGAAACTGTATTAGGGATTGTATACAAAAACAGGGAAGAGTGGGGGACGAAGCCTGGCACAAACTAATAACCATCAATAAAACAGTGAAAGTGAACAGTAAAAACCCTCTGTATAACCACAGACAGCATGAACGTAAAGGTAAGTTGTACCCCAATTACAGATGGCTACTTGCTCTTCTCGAACTGGAGTGACCGGATCTGGAGAGTGTTGCTCAGGACCTACAATCCTTGAGCTGGTTGAGAGCCCTCAGGGAGGTACACTGGGAAGTCCCTCGCTGATGGTAAAGGAACCCCAGAGAGGATGGCAGGCAGGTGGTATTTGCAGGATGGAAGGTGATAGATGGGATTCCTCTTCCGCTCTCTGGACTGGTCCGCAGCTGGATCAAGTCTTTCAATACCCGTGCAAACACTGTATCAGCCGATGATCCTTGAGCTGGTTGAGAGCCCTCAGGGAGGTACACTGGGAAGTCCCTCGCTGATGGTAAAGGAACCCCAGAGAGGATGGCAGGCAGGTGGTATTTGCAGGATGGAAGGTGATAGATGGGATTCCTCTTCCGCTCTCTGGACTGGTCCGCAGCTGGATCAAGTCTTTCAATACCCGTGCAAACACTGTATCAGCCGATGGTCAGGGCAGTGAGTGGTGTGTGTGTGTGTGTGTTATACACCCGAGACTTCAACTGCTGAGACCGGGGTCCCTTCGCAGCGGGCAACCTGGAGAAGGTTGATGGGTGCCCCAAGAAGTTTACAGGGAGAGCTTATTACACCTCAGATTTCAGCTGCTAAGATACAGGATCCCTTCGCAGCGGGCAGTCTAGGGAAGACTGAGAGATGCCCCAACGGATCTGTCACCTGGGAGTGACATGATCCAAAACGCCCAAGCTCTTCCTATACCTGTCCCTTATGACCGGCTGAAGTTCTTTTAAATTGTGCTTGGTTCTGTTACAGCAACTGATGGAGTCAGGTTAAAGCTTAAACAGTTACTATTTTATTGTTACAGGGTAAACTTAGCTGTTAAATGCTACTACTGTGTTACAGATAACACAGCCACTACAAAGGACAGGACAGAAATTACACTAATATGTCACTTACAGGTCCCATGAAACCCTTTTGGTTCTCTGAGCTCTTATTAAATGCATGCAAAATACACATAGCAGGTATATATTCTCACCCCTGCGTTCCAGACTTGGCGTGGCCAGCGTCTTTCTCTCAATCCCTTGGGAAGAAGTAGGGCGAGGTTGGGCGTCCCACAGACCTCGGGAGACAATCAATACCTGCAGGTGTAGGTGTTTGGAGCTCAAAGGGGGTGGGCTACTAAACCCCTCTTTATACCCCTTGGGTCACGTAGGCTTCTTCCTGGTCTCAAGTGGCCAATTAGGAAAAATGGCTTTGAATGCCAAGTTTCCCAAGAAGGGTGTAAAGCATAATTCACACCTGGGAAAATGCAGACAATGGGCACCTCTGGTATGTGATGGGCGAAGATTCCTCTCCTGGGACAGTGCAGGCGTGTCAGAAGATTCCTCTCCTGAGACAGTGCAGGCATGTCAATTACTGATACTAGCCATCACGGCGACGGGAGGCCTCCGGGTCGTCAGCTAGCCCATTTACTGTCTGGTTTCTGTTTATGGTAGTCAGGAACAGGCAGCACACCTGCGTTCCCAGAGCATCAAAGGCTGACTGCCTTTCTCTTGCTCTTTGGGGGGGGGGAACAAGATGGGGTTCATGTCTGGTTACACACTGTCACTCAGGTGGACAGCACTCCTCCTCGGCTGCGTCCGAGCTTATACAAACTTTTGGGCGGGAAACCCTCTGAGGTGGTTTGACCTCAAGCCACAAAAAGGTAGGATAATCCAGTTTGTACTGGTTCTTGTTTACTACTCCATAAGAAGGACCCCTCCCTTTCCCAAAGTCACATGTCTTGCAAACTCCATTTTGTCCGTTTCAACTCCATTTTGATATTTACCCAAACAGCCCAAAATACCATTAAACATCATCAACCTATTAACCTATTTTACATAATAACTATTTATCATGATAGAGGGTCAGCCTGCACTCCCCATGGCATTTCAAAGTGGCAGCACTGCATGGAGTCAGGGGGGGAGTCACCAGCTGACCCTGGGCTCCACGTGACACCTTTGCCTTTGAAGTGTAGCAACAGCAACATTTCAAAGGCGGATGCGCCCTATTGACTAATCAAATAGTCGATGCAAAATGCATTGACTGTTTGATTAGTCAGTTACTCAATATTTAACATCTCTAATTTAGATGATGCCATAGAGAGTACAGTTATTAAGTTTGCAGATGATACCAAGCTGGGAGGGATTTCAAGTGCTTTGGAGGATAAGGTCAAAATTCAAAATGATCTGGACAAACTGGAGAAATATTCTGAGGTAAATAGGATGAAATTTAGTAAGGGCAAATCCAAAGTATTCCACTTAGAAAGGAATAATCAGTTTCATACATACAAAATGGTAGGTGGTTGTCTAGGAAGGAGTATTGCTGAAAGGGAATTAGGTGTCATAATGGACCACAAGCTAAATATGAGTCAACAGTGTGACACTGTTACAAAAAAGCATACATGATTCTGAGATGTATTAAGTCATTCTTCTGCTCTACTTTGTGCTGATTAGGCCTCAATTGGAGTATTGTGTCCAATTCTGGACACTACATTTCAAGAAAGATGTGGAGAATTGGAGAAGGTCCAGAGAAGAGCCGCAAAAATGATTAAAGGTCTACAAAACATGACCTGTGAGAGAAGACTGAAAGAATTCGGTTTGTTTAGCTTAGAAAATAGAAGAATGAGGGGACATGATAGTGGTTTTCCAGTATGAAGAAGAGTGCTACAAGGAGGAGCAAGAAAAATTGTTCTCATTGGCCTCTTGTGGTAGGACAAGAAGCAATGGGTTGAAATTGCAGCAAGGGAGGTTTAGGTTGGATGTTAGGAAAAACTTCCTAATAGTCAGGGTAGTTAAACACTGGAATAAATTGCCTACAGAGGTTGTGGAATCTCCATTACTGGAGATATTTAAGAACATGTTGAATAGACATCTCTCGGGGATGGACAGTGCTTGGTCCTGCCATGAGGCAGGGGACTGGATTCGATGACCTCTCGAAGTCTCTTCCAGTTCTAGGATACTTTGTGTTCTAGTATTCTATGATTCTATGGGTTCTATAATAAGATAGTGATCTTTTGCTACAGACTATGATGTAGTATGAAATTAAAATAACTAAAATGAACATTGTCTTCGTATTTTTATTTGTATGCGTGTACTTCATCTCTGTTTTCCCCTCTTTCTCTCCACTATCCTTGTGCCCTTTCTGTGACTGAAGGAGTGAGTCAGGTTATTGTGTAGACTTGAGACGGCCTTATTGTTGTGAGACTCATTAGATATCTGGGAAATCTTAGCCTTGATTGGCAATTCTACATTTTCAGAATTAATTGGAGGGGTTTTGCTGATACTAAATCAAAGTTCTTTATTTTCTAACTGGATAACAATAAGATAACTCAATATGAATGAGTGCTTAATGGTTTCTGTTGTCGTCTTTTTTTTCTTTGTCTACTATACCCTGTAATTATATATATTTTAAAAAGAATGACTCTTATCTGGCTTTTTTAAAGGCTCTAATTAGAGTATGGTTGGATAGTATTTTTAATTACTGAGGTATACCAGGGTACAAACTTCTATACTAATAATTTTGTGTGGTGACGCTGTAGGCAAACAAACAAGGTAACAATTATGAGCTCATTAATGGATTACTCACATCCAAAACCATTAAAGTCTGTTTTATTAAAAGAAGGGATGTTGTCCAGGACACCAGGATATTTTTATTCTTTCTTTGATAAGCATTTTGGTGTCTTTAGCTTAAACCTAAACAACCAGCTGGACTAAATATAGACAGTCTGAGTTTTAACTTCTTAGCCTGGAACTTGAACCGATGATTGTTTGGCACAAAGTAGGAATACTAGTGTTTGAAATGAATCCTTTGATGTGTGTTATAATGGTTAACAACAAAACTTAAAATTTAGGGGGTAATGTCCCCCACCCCAACTATTTTCTCCCTCCTTCGCAATAGCCTCCTGATTGAAACATAAATCAAGTCTGCAAATCTGACTCCGCTACAGTTCTTGTTAAACTTGTTTGCGAAGCACTTTGAGATGCTTGGATAAAAATAAGTGGAAATACTGTTATTAGTATAAAGAAAATCTGATTTTTTTTTAAAGAGGAACAAACAATTTGATATCACCAGTAACTAACACATTTTTATGTGAACCAATTCTCTATTAAAATATAGTGCTAGTAGTGTTGGTTAAAGTTGATATGCTGATATTTTCCCCTCCCACTTAGGAAAACTATGAACGAATGAAAGCCCTAGTAACTGAACTCCAGGAGCTTGCAGAAAAGATCAGATTAGGTAAGTTCTCTGTGTGATTTTTAGAACATTGTTTAAAGTAGACCTGGATTTGTTTTTTATAGAGTTTTTCTTAACTAATTTTAGTTTTGAATACAGTGCTGAAGAAGTTTAAGTTTATTGTATGATGGGGTTTTTTGTGTTAGCAGGGAGCAGTGGTCACTTATTTCTAAGTTATTAGGAACAGCTAAGCATGTTGTTTTTAATAAACTTAGTAACAGTATTCCTTTAAACAAACAGCAAAAAATAAACTTTTACTGACATGTTTTCCCTTCTTCATTCCAGTCTGTCGCCATGGTTTTTGCCTTTATAATCAGTCAGCTGGACAAATACATGTCTTTTCAATTTGTCTATTAGAGTATCAGGCCTGTTCGCACCTAAAAATTACCAGAGGGATAGCTGTTTTAGTCTGTATCTGCAAAAAAAAAAAAAAAAACCCAAGGAGTTCTGTGGCAGCTTAGAGACTAACCCATTTATCTTATGCCATAGTAAATCTGTTAGTCTTTAAGGAAACATCTTACACAGCAGCATTATTTGAGAATAACTGATGGTATTCCAAAATAACATAGTGAGTGTCTACACTACAAGCCTTTATTTCAAAATAATGTTGAGCTGGAGGACTTCTTACTCCAACTCATGGTAACTCTCATTTCACGAGGAGTAAGGGAAGTCGAAGGAAGAGTGTTCTTCCTTTGACTTCCTGCTTTGTAGTAAGTGCCAAAAGCCAGATTAAGCAATTTTGACTTCATCTGCACAATTGATGTAGCTGAAGTTGCATAGCTCAATTTGACGTTAGCCCTGCTGTGTAGACGTGCCCCATGGTGCTACTGAACTTCTCATTGTATTTACCTAAAAAATAGATTGTCCTAGCTACATTGCTCAGGGCTTTGAAAAAATGTTTGTCCAGTGAGATGTAGTTATGTTGACCTAACACCCAGGGTAGAAGCAGGTAGGTACATGGAAGAACTTTTCTGTTGATTTAACTACTGCCTCATGGAGGATTGGGCTTGTTACTTAGCTGGAAAAAACACTTCTGTCAATGTAAGAAGCCTCTGCAGTACAGCTCTACAGCCGTGGCTGTGCCATTGTAGTGTTGCTATCTCCTCAGTTTGCAGAGATTACCTTTGAGAAACTTAGCCATGCCTTGTACTATAGAAAAACTAGAAACACAGGGCTTAGTCTTCATGATTGTAAAATCTAAATTAACTAATTCCAACTAAGTGAAGCATATACATTTTAAACCACTACACAGAAGCTGCACAACAAGACTGCACCTCCAACTTTCACTCTGTTCCTTTGCATAATGAGAATGTATTTGTTAAATTGCTGTTTTTCAAATCTTACAATACAGTTTCTTCCACAACTTTGGAAGGGAGCAGAGTTAAGGTTGCATGTTTATTTTTGTCATTATTATTTACTTGCAGAATTGGGCTCAAAAGTTTCTTCTGGGAGGTGCTGAATATCCTTGTTTCCTATTCACTTCAGTGGATGTGAAGGGTGCTCAGTACCGCCTAGTAGTGCTCAGGGCTAATTGGAGATAAGACTATTTGTTTCTGTGAATCTTCCTGTGCTTTTCCATCAGATGGGAACAGGAGAAAAGCCAAGTATTGCACAATCACTCTGCTTTGTCCTGCTCACTTAAATTCTTCCTGAGCAATAGTTTTCCTTCCGACTGTGGAAGTCACTGAAGCTGTAATGTCTGTAATGTAATGAAAAGGCATATACGAATGATTAGGTGGCTGTCTGGCAAAGTTCTAAAGAATAAATGTCCCTCTTTCATTGAGAGCCATTCCTACTGGTAGGATGAATTAGCCTTGACTGACATCAGTGGTGTTAGTTTCTGAGGAAGTATAAAATGGTACATGACACTGCTACTAAGAAGGTGAAAGATGATCAGCTGGCAACAAGTGTTGGAATGGTGTCAAACACCACAGAATGAGAGGTATAATTTAGGGTAGCCCAAAGTGAAATAACTGAAAGTATTAAATGACAGGGTGCAAAAGAAAATGTAAGTTGACTGTTAAATGCTGTTCACTATGAGCTCTTCTACACTATAGAATAATCTTGCGAGGAAATGTGAGGAGCCCCATTGCTTGAGCAATTTAATGCTGAATTCAGCAAAGCAGTGTAAGATGTACTATAGGGAAATGAATGTGACCCAATAGGTTCCTGTCTATTTCTGATTGCAGCAGGCCTGCCAAAAGGGGCAAAATGGGCAGTTGCCCCAGGGCCCAGTGATTCAAAAGGGCCCGGGACTCCTATCTGCCACCACTGTTACTACAGCAGCAATGGCAGCTGGAACCCCAAGTCCTTTAAATTGACAGTGGAGCCCCACGCAGCACAGTCCACGTGGCGCTGAGTGCTGACTGCTTCCAATCCTGCCTTTTCCGTCCAAGGCTCCGGCCTTCTGGGAGCATGGAGCTCAGCCTCTCACTTTGTCCATGTGCCTAGCAATTCTGTCATCCCTGAAAAGTAAGTTTTTGAGTGCAGACTGTTCTGTTAGTTCGTAGTCCAAATAGACAGCAGCAAATAGACTCTTTTAGCTGAGAGTTGATTTGCTTTCAAACTTCATTAGTAAAGAATGAAGAAAAATAATTCTTACAAACAGGATTATCTGCATCATCATCTTAAATCAGGTTATGTAAATTCTGTCAAATATATTGTCTCTTTAAATCTGTATTTTTACATCTGAGCATTTAGATCTGCTTTCACTATAAATTAAATGTTAACGGTGATGTAGTCAGTTGTGTGTACAGTGGATTTAATGAATGACCTTGTGTCATAGGGGGTGGAGAAAAGGCACGAACGCTTCATACATCAAGAGGAAAGCTGTTACCCAGAGAGAGAATTGACAGACTCATAGATCCAGGGTGTGTAATTTCTTTTTGGCTATAAAACATCAAGTACTCTGTTGTGTGAGCTGACAGAATTGTCTATTTTTTGAAGTTTCCTAAAATATGTGCAAGTAGTGTTGATTTGAAATCTTAACATATTTGTTATTTGGAAGATACATTTCAAGAACACATTTTAAAACCATGAGCTTTATAAGTGGGAATCAAAAGAAAAGAATGTTTAATGTCAAGTTCATCATCATCATCATCATCCACAACCATGTGCTCAACGCCCATTGGTGTCTGATGCCTCTCTCACTATTTTCTTCCATCTTTCCCTGTCCAGTGTGGAGTGGCTTAGTTTCTGTAGACTAGCTCTGCATCAATCTATTATATCATCTACCATTTTCTGTGGGGTCTGCCTCTCCTATGCGGACCATCCATTATGCCAAATACCAGGGTCTTAACTTTTCACTCATTGTTCATTCTGTAGATATGCCCGAATAGCTGTAACTTCCGTTGTATAACCTTCTGCAGTAGGTTCTCTTTCAGTTGTATTTTCCTATATAATTCCTTGTTAGTGACCACCTGCATCCATCCTATTCTCAGGATCTTTCTATAACAACTCCTCTCGAACGCCAATATTCTTCTCTTCGAATCTTACATTATCACCTATAACAAAAAATAGGATTATATAGCACTTTAAAGACTAACAAGATGGTTTATTAGGTGATGAGCTTTCGTGGGCCAGACCCACTTCCTCAGATCAAATAGTGAAAGAAAATTGTCACAACCATATATACCAAAGGATACAATTAAAAAAAATGAACACATATGAAAAGGACAAATCAAATTTCAGAACAGAAGAGGGATGGGGGGAGGTAAATGTCTGTGAGCTAATGATATTAGAGGTGATAATTAATTCTAATATCATTAGCTCACAGACATTTACCTCCCCCCATCCCTCTTCTGTTCTGAAATTTGATTTGTCCTTTTCATATGTGTTCATTTTTTTTAATTGTATCCTTTGGTATATATGGTTGTGACAATTTTCTTCCACTATTTGATCTGAGGAAGTGGGTCTGGCCCACTAAAGCTCATCACCTAATAAACCATCTTGTTAGTCTTTGAAGTGCTACATAGTCCTGTTTTTTGTTTCAGCTACACCACGCTAACACGGCTACATTTCTATCATTATCATCTATGTCTCACATCCATACAACATGCTGCTAAATACACACATTTTCAAGACGCTCAGCTTCATTCCTAAGCTAATCACTTTACTTTTCCAGATCTTATCAACCGCCTTCAAACTCACTCTTGCTTTCACTATTCTACAAAGACAAGGGTATTTGGAGATAATGAAATAGGAAGGAAGACCAGTGTAGATGGGATTGAACTAGAAAATGTAGAGAAGTTCACGTATTTGGGGAGCAACATGATGTATGATCTAGACTGTAATGTCAAGTTGCTTCCTGTTAATAATCCTATAAAAATGTTTGTCCTTTTTTTAGGTCTCCATTCTTGGAGTTCTCCCAGTTTGCAGGTTACCAGTTGTATGGTAATGAAGAGGTACCGGCAGGAGGCATTATCACAGGCATCGGACGGGTGTCAGGGTAAGAAATTCTCATTGATCTAGATATTAGGTATGTGATGAAAGAGATAGAGAAGATGTTTTTATTGGCTCCTAGTTCCAGCTCTGGGAGCCAGCTGGCACTTTGTTTCCAATATTAAGTCTAAGCTTTCCGGTGTTCAATTTTCATGATCCAGAAGATTTACTAAAATGAAAATTCTTCCTATTTAGTTTTGTCTTCAGGGAAAGGAAGGGGTACTGCTTTATATTTTGACACTGGACTATCACTACAAGTCACTTGGTTTTTCAAAAAAGGGAATGCATGTTTGGAGAGAGTAAGAAAAAATTTCACCAATTTTTTCCTTTTCTGTTAAATTTCTGCATAGCTGTGGTCAGTAAAATAAGTGATGCTTTCTTTAAAATGACAGATTTAATATGCTTCTTTATTAAGAGCATGTTTTCTAAAAACTTGAAGGAAATATGACTTGAAATCACTTCTATCAGAGGGGTAGCCGTGTTAGTCTGAATCTGCATAAATAACGAGAAGTCCTGTGGCACCTTAAAGACTAATAGATTTACTGGAGCATAAGCTTTCGTGGGCGGACCACCTTCATGCATCTGACGAAGTGGGTCTTTACCCACAAAAGCTTATGCTCCAATAAATCTGTTAGTTTATAAGGTGCCACCGGATTTCTAATTTTTTATGAAGTCACTTGCAGCCTTGATAGGGATATATCTAACAATGGAACAGTGTTACGGCGATAAACACTTAATGGGTATGTATTGAATTGTGCCGAGGGAAGTTGTTGCAGATATGGTTACAGTGGTAATGTAGGTCCATAGGGAAGTATGTCTGGTTATCATAAAGTTTCTGCTTTTCAGAGTGGAGTGTTTAATTGTTGCTAATGATGCAACTGTCAAGGGTGGTACCTACTATCCAATCACAGTGAAGAAACATTTACGAGCTCAAGAAATTGCAATGCAAAATCATCTCCCTTGTTTATATTTAGGTAAGTCCCATTACAAAAATACTAAATGACTATTGTTAAACAAAGGTCAGGGTTCTAGCTAGAAGACTACGTTTTTTTAAATGGATGCCATCAACACTGTATCTCGTCTTTAGTAAGGCTTTGATACTATCTCAAATTACCTTCTCATAAACAAACTAGAGACCTATAGCCTAGATGAACATATCATATGGTGGGTACACAACTGGTTAGAAAACTGTAATCAGAGGATAGTAACAGTGGTTCACAATCAAGCTGGAAGGGCATATCAAGTGGGGTTTTGCAGGGATTGATCCTGGGTCCAGTTCTGTTCATTATCTTCATAAATGATTTGGATAATGGTATAGAGAGTACACTTAAAAATATGCACAGTACCAATCTGGGAGAGGTCACAAGCCCTTTGGGGGACAGGTTTAGAATACAAATAGTATGAAATTCAGTAAGAACAAATGCAAAGTACTGCACTTTGGAAGTTGCACAAATACAAAACGGGAGTACTGAAGGAAAGGATCTGGGGTAATAAACTTAAATATATCAACAATATAATCCCATTGCAAAAAGTGCACATAATTCAGGGCTGTAAAATAGAACATCAGAGTTACAAACACATTGAGTATGGAGGTTGTTTGTAACTCTGAACAAAACTTTATGGTCGATCTTTCAAAAATTTGCAACTGAACATTCAAATATTCTGTGCAGCAGAAATGTGCTGATTTTCCTTTTTTTTTAGTAATTTTCATTTAACACAATACTGTACTGTATTTGCTTTTTTTGGAGGGGAGGGGACTGCTGTTGCCTGTGATTGACTGGTCAGTCTGTAACTATCAAGCTCAAAACTGTGAGGTCCTACTGTATTAGCAGGAGTGTTGTGAGCAAGAGAAGAGAAGTAATTCTTCTGCACTGATAAGGCCTCAACTGGATTACTATGTCCAGTTCTGGGCATCACATATTGGGAGAGATGTAGACAAATTGAAGAAATACAGAGAAGAGGAACAGCAATGATTAAAAATCTAGAAAACATGAAACACAAGTAAAGATTGAAGCAAGTGGACTCGTGTAGTCTTTTAGATGGGAGTATTTCAATGCTGAATTCTTTTATATTAAAATAATACTACTTCACAGCAAGCACATTTAGCACACATATTTGCTTACTGAATAAAATAGTGTATAAGCATGCTAACTTTAAGATGAGACAAGATTAAAAGATAGTTTACTCAACCGTTGATTTTTTTTGACTGATTAAGAAAACACGGAGTAAAACACATTGATATTTTTTGTATGGTATATTCCATTTGAAATTGTAGAAAGCAATGAAGAGACGACTGATGGGGAACATTAAACAAGTCTTCACATACATAAAAGGTTGTTATAAAAGAGATGGCAATAAATTGTTCTTCTTAATCCATTGAGGCCAGAACAAGAAGTAATGGACTTAAATAGCTGCAAGGGGTATTTAGGTAAGACATTAGGAAAAACTTCTAACTGTCAGGGTTGGTAAGCACTTGAACAGATTACCTAGCAGTGTTGTGGAATGTCTGTGATTGTAGGTGTGATGCTATATGGAATATTTGGGACACTTCATAATATTGTTGATACCATTATTAAAAATTGCAAGAAATATCAGATATGTAACGTGGGGTCTCTGTGAAAATGTTGTCATTTGCCAAGTATGATAATCTATTGTTTATGTGTTTGTATCATCTTGGTATTACGAGCTAGAGATATATAGGCTATATCTGTAGTTCCAAACGTGCTATGTTTCTGGATGAGATCACTAACTGTTTGGTGGTCCATTAAGGGACTTCAACTGCACAGTGCATCCCTTGCAAGAAATGAGGGAAAACACCGTTATAGTTTTAGTTACTAAAGGATTCTGTGGCAGCATGGTATTTTGGGTAAGATCTTTACTTCTTTTGACCTGGTAATGTGGCTGACTCTTTGGGCTCAGAAGAACATTTTGTATATCCGAGCAGAGTTTTAAAATAACTTCTTACTATATTGCACCTAGGTGCTTATAGGGAGCCAGAAAACCGGAATGCAATAAAGGGGGCTGTATGACTTCTTTATTTAGCTTGTTGAGGACAGAAACACAATCTGTACTGTTTGGGGAGTTTAACTTCTGTGTCGCCTACCGGTCTTGTGAGTATCTACACTCCTTTTTGCAGCCTGCCCTGACTTTGGCATTTCCAATGAGGACTTCTTAGGGTATGTCTAGACTACATGCCTTTGTCGTCAGAGGCATGTAGATTAGGCTACCAGACATAATAAAATAAAGCGGCGATTTAAATAATCGCCGCTTCATTTAAATTTACATGGCTGCTGTGTTGAGCCGACAAACAGCTGATCAGCTGTTTGTCGGCTCAGTGCAATAGTCTGGACGAGCGGGTGTCGACATCAAAGGTATTTGTCTACCACCCAGGTATGCCTCCTGGGATGAGGTTTACCTGGGTGGTCGACAAATACCTTTGATGTCGCCACCCGCGCGTCCAGACTATCTCGTGTTCAGACTAGCACGCTGAGCCGACAAACAGCTGATCAGCTGTTTTTCGGCTCAGCACGGCAGCCATGTAAATTTAAATGAAGCGGCGATTATTTAAATCACCGCTTTATTTTACTATGTCTGGTAGCCTAATCTACATGCCTCTGGCGACAGAGGCATGTAGTCTAGACGTACCCTGAGGGACATTGGCTCACAGGGGCTATGTCTACACCGTGAGTTTTGTTGGCAAAAAATATGATAATGAGGGACTCATTTGCATGAGTCGTGATCTCATTTGCATATTTTCTGCAGATCCATTTTTGCGCCGAGGTTTTTGCATAAAAACAAGCAGTATGGATGTTTTCTTTTCCCGCAAGATCCTTATGCCCCAGTAAAGGAGGTATACTGATCTTACAGAAAAAGGTTTTTTTTGCACAAAAAGAAAACATCCATACTGCTTGTTTTTATGCAAAAACCTCGGCGCAAAAATGGATCTGCAGAAAATATGCAAATGAGATCACGACTCATGCAAATGAGTTCCTCATTAGCATATTTTTTGCTGACAAAACTCGTAGCGTAGCCGTAGCCAGGAGGATTTTAAGAACAGGTTGGACAACCACCTATCAAGGATGGTGTAGATAACTTAGACTTGGATGGACTTAGATCTGCCACTGTGTAGGGACTGGACTAAATGATTTATTGAGATTCTTTTCACTTTTACATTTCTAAGACTGAAATACCAACCAGCTGTTTGGGATTTCAGACACATGCATACCTATGATGCTTTTTGATTATATGCTTTATCTGTTCATTCATTTTATAAAGGTAGTAAAGTGAACTGATGACCCAGAGGAACAGGTTCTTTCATTTTACTACCTGTGTAATGGAAAAAAGCAAAATAGCCCAGGGGAAAAGTTGTGTGCTCACATCAACAGTAATTCACTGAAGTAATTGTGTTATTTTAGTTTGTGATCTCTTATAAAGTTGCTTATATCTATCGATTTATGTAAAAAAGAACAAAAACTCCATATATCGTGTCTGTTAATATCTTCCTATAGTTTGACATTTTTCTTTTAGTATATTCCATCTCAGTGTATTTTACTTCATTTGTTTAGTCATAGTCAGTGGTTGAGTAAATTAATTTTAGAATGTTTAGACATTTTATTAAATGAGAAAATGTATATGCAAATATGCTTGCTTTTATTATAGAGATAGTATATTTTAATATAAATTATTCAGTTTAACTTCTTAATAAACAATATTTGGCTTGTGAACTTTTACTGTCAGAATGAATGGGTAGCCAGTGTGCAATTCTCTGTAATCCTGTTCTTTGTAACCAAAGAGATGCTTTTTTGTGAGCTATCAAGTTACTAGCAGAGCATTAGGCTTTTGCAACCACTCATGAAGAAAGGGTTTAAGCAGTGTCTTCCTTAGAATGTCTTTCCTTATGTATTGATTTAATTAAGTGTAGTTTTAATTTCTGCAGCTACAGTGAAAGGTATTAGATCGTATATATTTAGAAAGGAAATAAGTTTGTCCTGGAACACAGAACATTTAATTTCCTGTATTAAGGTTTGTAAGTGAGTGTCTTTAAAACAAAAAACTGTTTGTCAGATGAGTTTCAAAAGGTGTGTACAGCCAAGTATAATTACATCTTTAAATGACGCTACCGTTGGTTTACTTAAAAATGTTTGGGATACGTAACAACTGTTCATGTGTGGTCATCAGTTTTCATTTTCCAAGTGAAATAACCTGGCCTATTTTTAATTACTAGAAGATGTACCCATTTAGCGCATTGCTTTGGGGTGGGGATGGGGATGGCGGTGTGGGATTTATTATGCAGACTGCTTGGGGAGAGAGGACAACCCTATCCCTTTCTCACCAGTCAGCTTGGGGCCAGGTGAGAAGTGCATCTCCATGGCTGCTGCAGCTCCAGCTGGCCTAGCTGGGGACCTTCTGGGGCAGGTCTGGGAGGGAGGGAGAGCTCAGTGGTTTGAACTTTGGCCTGCTAAACCCAGGGTTGTGAGTTTAATCCTTGAGGAGGCCATTAAAAATAGGGGGGAGGGATAACTCAGTGGTTTGAGCATTGGCCTGCTAAACCCAGGGTTGTGAGTTTAATCCTTGAGGAGGCCATTAAAAATAGGGGGGAGGGATAACTCAGTGGTTTGAGCATTGGCCTGCTAAACCCAGGGTTGTGAGTTCAATCCTTGTCCATGCCATTTAGGGATTTGGGGCAAAAATTTGTCAGGGATGGTAGTTGGTCCTGCTGTGAAGGCAGGGGACTGGACTCAATGACCTTTCAAGGTCCCTTCCAGTTCTAGGAAATGGGCAATCTCCATTATTATTAAAGGTCCAGATTCATCTGCCCTCTGCACTCTCCAGCCAGAGTGAGAAATGCAGCAGCAAACTGTGCACTTGCCCCTTACACACCAATGATGGGGTACAACCAGCAACATCACTGTACCCATTGGGGGACCATCTCCCCCTTCCCTAAAGTGTGCATGGGATGTGGGAGGCTCAGAGCTGGGAAAATCCTGGAGGGAGTAGGGAATGCCACAGCCAGCCCCTTTCACCTGCATGGTGATTCTCTCTCTCTTTTTTTTCTATTTGATTTTATGTGGAGCAATCCCTGGCTGCCACAATGGGATTATAGTTGTCCCGGTCCCCATCTCTGGCCCTTTACTATCCCCCCCGTGGTCATTATACTGTATAACTGTCCCTGCTTCCAGTCCCATATTCCCTGCTACTCCCTTGTGGTCATTATATAGCAGAGTCCTCCCTTACCATTTTATGAGAAGCTGATCCATTCCATGCACATCCCATTGTCTTGGCATAACCAAACCCTTACCTTGCTTTAAGTTATGATAAGACAAAACTTGTATACCCAATTTGGTGATCCTGGTTCTTCAAGTGTAGAAAGTATTCTTGAAAAAACAGATGGACAGACAAATTTTTAAATAATAAGAAATAATATCTTTGTTTAAAATTGTGCAAAGAGGTAGATTTACATAAAACTTATTTTTCATTCCACTTGATTTAGTTGACTCAGGAGGAGCAAACTTACCCCGCCAAGCTGAAGTATTTCCAGATCGAGATCACTTTGGTCGCATTTTTTATAATCAAGCACGCATGTCCTCACAAAGAATTCCACAGGTAACGTCCTTAAAGCTAATATTGCTAGCTGCACTGCACTGCACTGCACATCTGCTTCTTTCTGGATTTAAGACTCAGAACTTCAAGTTTTTGGCAACTTAAAAGTTTTGCTAACCTGGCTGAGAAGTTGGAGATGAAGCATGGGATGAAGGGCTGAAAGAGAGCTTTAGGATATCATTTGCATCAGTTGATTATTCTGAATCATTGCTTGAAAGGAATGCTGTGCGTGGTAGTGAGTAGAGACATGTACTTAGCTGAGGAGGAGTGCGGTGTGTATTTATATATACAATTTTTGCACTTCTGTTGACAGAGGTCTTTTTCTAATACATTAATGATTCATAGATTTACTGTTAGTCATGATGTCTTGATTTACAATAGTTTTTGTTGGTCTTCATGTTTTAGATTGGGGTGGGCAATAAGTGATTTGTGGGCTGGATGCAGTTTGGCAGGGTTAGCCCCTGGTAGGTCACTGGATGCTTCATTTACCTGCACAGCCACTGGTATGGGTGTTAACAGCTCCAATTGGCCGCAGTTTGCTGTTCCTGGACAATGGGAACTGCTGTGTGCTGGCCCACTGCTTCCTACAACTCCCACTGACCAGGAATGGTGAACTGTGGCCAACGGAAGCTGTCAGCCACTGTACTATGGTCACTCAAGTAAATAAAGGCTCTAACCCTGGTGAGCCACATCGGTTGGCCACTTACTGACCACACCTGTTTTAGATACTATTGTAACTGGTAATTTGAACACTTAATTCTCTGTATTCATTCTCTGTATTCAATAGCCAAATAAATAAAAAAAAAATCTAGCAAAACCCGAACTCCTCTAATATGTGCAAGATTCTATTGCCATTTCAATGTGTATACAGTTTTTCTAATCAGATGGGTTGTTCTGCCAACTCTGCTAATCCTCCTTCCCTCCTACAAATAGTTTGACCATTATATGGAGTCAGTAGAGGAAACATATTGGGTTTTATATAAGCAAAAAACTGACTTAAAAAAATTGAGTCTGGGCTCACTGGTTAACCTTCACAGTTACACTCAAGTCCCCCCCCCCACTCCCCCACTGTTCTGCTCCCTCTGTGTGGGAGTGGGCGTGTGTGTGAAGGGAGCAAGTGTGAGCTGGTGCTTGCAGAGCTGCATGCGCTCTCTCTCTACCCCCTCCCCTGGTGCTTGTGTTTGATGGCAGCAGTTTGATGGAGGTGGGGGGGAGGCAGGCGGCACCATGGGAGCTGGTATGCATAGGAAGCTGGGTTAAAGGCCAGCTCAAGTGCACACAAGCTCCCTCAGAGCCACCCCCTCCACGTGTAAAAGTATAATCACTGAAATTTTCAGTGGTTACACCTTCACTACTCTCCCCCTCTTGCACATTTTAATATCCCTAGACAAAACATATCTATCCTTATGTTTAATATGACAACGATGATAGGTCTCTGAAAATATTTACAGTGGGAAAGTATTTTTACTGCAGCTCTTTTTACTTAAGGGTTATTTTAGATTTTATATCAAGATCTCTTTACTTTTCCTGGAAGTTTGGTTTTTATCCTTTCTTATTTCAATGGGCATCTGTTTGTGTTTTGAAAATCTGTTAATGCGCAGCAGTGATTTGGATTATCTTCCTTATCTGAAAAGATATTTTCTTAGACTTGTACTGACAAAAATATTTTGCTAGATTATATTTTCTAACCATGTTAATTACTTTGACATGGGAGCTCATTGTTCTTGGCTTAATGTCCATTGTTGGTAATGTCAATAATGAAAAAATTGTGTTCTGAAGAAAATCAGACTGTTGCTGCCACTGGAGTTGAATCTAATTTTGGTGACACTAGTACAGAATCTTATTCTATTTGACTATTTTTATTTCTCTTTGACTGGAATGAATCCAGAGTGGGTGCCAAGTGATTTATCTTATTTCTTTTTCAGTAGTCATGTTTTTTTCTTTTCATTTAGACAAAAAAGCAGCTATGAAATGACATACTTTAAAATTTGTTAACAAAGCACTGTGACCAACTAAATTTCTCTCTCTCTCTCTCTCTCTCAGCTTACTGTGGTTAGACAGACAAAACTGTTTCTTACGGGCAACAAAGATAACTTTTTAAATCGCATATTACCTTCACTTCCTTATAGCAAAGGTGCTCTCCTTGACACTGATGCCACAGTATAACAGAAACTCTTCTTTCTAGGTTCATTGATTTTTAACGGTAGAATGTTCTACTGTAATCAGGGGCACGCATAGACCAAATGATGTCCCAACTCAGGAGGGTCTTTGGCACCTCCTCTCACTTGAAACTTTTGACTACTTTATTTCTTATTGTATTTGTAGCTCATTTCATTACTTTGATGCCCACATGCAGAAGGGCCTGCTGGTGGAAGCAGGAGTCAGCCATGGTGGTAGGAGCTTACACAATTACCTTGTATTTGCCACAATCTCCCCATCCCGTTTGCTGGGAGTGTGCAACTTTCCCTTCCCACAGTGGTGGGTCGGGCATGGTAGCAGGGGCTCACATGGTCAGCAAACCACGCGTTCTTGGGGATGAGCAAACGGCGGTGTACTATCTCAGTGGTATCAATTACACAGCTGCTTGAGCCCAGCTGTGATGGCGCCCCTCTCTCCCCCACTAATCCACCCCTCACCCCTGTTTAAATTTAATGTTTAACAAGTTAACTAATTAAACAAGTTGGTCAGAAGCACTAGTACAGACCTGGGCTTGAACCTCATAATCTGCTGGCCTCCACCATGTCCCTGCCAACACCTTCATCATTCAATCCAGACATGTATTGCTTTCTAGCATTCCCAATAGCTGAGCAGCTACCCATAGCTGAGCTGCGGTAAAATCAGAAATCTCTAATATTTTGCTTTATTTCTCTTTATTTTTGTGCATCATTTGGGTCATGTTGTGTTCTTGTTACCACCCTTGCTTTTAATTTAAAATCCTGATGCCCCCTTTTTGCCAGGGGCTTTAGGAGCCCTCAGTAAGTGGAGATTATGACCATCCAGGATCTTTCTTTTCAGGACCCAGACAACTGTCTTTACAGATTCCATGCCCACACTCACACCTCCCCTTACTTCTGCTGTGCCCCACTGGGTTTCCAACTGGGTTTTCAGTTTCTTTATTTGCTGCTTACACACTGTTGGGTCAGTGTTATCTGGGACCCAGTCTTTATTTTCTTGTAACACCATTCTGACAGCTTCCTGAATATCTTTAGCTTCGTTTGAAATGTAGGCGCCTCCCCATTCAACTTTGTACTTTCATTTTCAGATGCTCACACTCTCCTGTTTTCACCTGTAAAGTTATTGTATTCTGTAATGCAGAAGCTGCACTGGCACACTCAGATGCCTTAAATTCAGCCAAATTATTCTTAGATAAGTCCAAACTGAATTTGTAACCCTCTAGTTGTCTTTCCTGGAGTGCTCCAGGCTGGACAGATTAGTGACAGCTTTCCCTGTTGCCCATGCTGCTGCTGCTTCGAGAGCCTTTTTCTTTAGTTTTGGTTTTGGTTTCATGTGCTTACAGAATGTTTCAGCCTCCCCACAAGCAGTCTTCAGGGCATTCCTCCACTGGAAATAACCTTGTCCCCATAGGCATGGACCTCATTCCGTTAACCTTTTAGCAAGGAGGATGAGCTCTTCATCTAACCACCACTCTTCTTGGTCCTTTATCTTTTGTTTACTTTCTCTCCTATTGCTTGAGGGTGACCATTGTGCCAAGCATGTAGTGGCCAGTGTTCCCTCTAACATTTTCTGGCTACGTCTACACTGGCCACAATTTCCGGAAAAGGGATGCAAATCAGGTAAGTCAGGATAGGGAAATCCACGGGGGATTTAAATATCCCCCGCGGATTTAAATAAACATGTCCGCCGCTTTTTTTCCGGCTTGGGGAAAAGCCGGAAAAAAAGCGTCTAGACTGGCGCGATCCTCCGGAATAAAGCCCTTTTCCGGAGGATCTCTTATTCCTACTTTGAAGGAAAAAGAGATCCTCCAGAAAAGGGCTTTATTCCGGAGGATCGCGCCAGTCTAGACGCTTTTTTTCCGGCTTTTCCCCAAGCCGGAAAAAAAGCGGCGGACATGTTTATTTAAATCCGCGGGGGATATTTAAATCCCCCGTGGATTTCCCTAT